AATAAATCATAACGGATTAACAAGTGCTCCAAAGACTCCATCTTACATAATTCTTGTCTACTGGGGGACCCAGAGGAGCCTGCATGTGAGGCTCCAGGCCATGCAGGCCTCTACCCTTCAGAGGCAGGTTCTGCTCTCCAAGTTGAAACTTCCTCTCTAGCAGATGGAAGCAGGTGTTCTTGGCAGATGACAAGGTAGTCACCGCATTCAGCTGCGAGTTGTAACTCCTCCAAAGTGTATGTGAGTAGAGTTGAGTGTCTAGACAGCTACCAGCCTCTGTGAGCTACCTTAGAGGGAGTGTCCCATGCAGAACAGATGAGCCACAGAGCTGTGTAGAGTTGAAGGAGGGCTGGGATCAGTACCCAGGGCTCTGCCAGGTAGTGAAAAACAGAGAGGCTGGGTGCAGCTTGCCCTGGAGAAATTCATTTGAAACGGGAGACAGATGCACAATCACCAGGCTGTGAGGGAGACCCCCTACATGGTACTCCTGCTTGTCATCACCATAGGAAGACAGCTGGACAGGGAGCGGTGTCACATAGGAAACATGCATTCATGAGAAACCAGCATCTTGCTGTTGCTGTACATTTTTAGGCAGATTGGCAAACCCATGTCAAACGAAAGCATTAGCTACTGGGCTAGGCTTTTTATTTATTGTTTTAAAGAGAGATTTTTGTTTTCAGGCATGTGTGCTCACCAGAAACAAAAAAGCAAGAAATCAACCCCCAGGGGGGCTGGCCATGCTGCAATCCCTTCTCCATTCTCTTGGGATTTGGGGTATGCATGCACACATGTCCAGTGTGAGTTTTAGTTGCCGGGTCCTGGATTCAAACTGTGGTCATCTACGTAGGAGTCCAGCAACATAACCATTACACCATTTGCTGGTCCCTTTTGTTTTAATGAGACTTTTTTACTATAGGGCACATGCACTCACCGGAGACAGAGAAAGTGAGAAGTCACCCTCTCGGGGGGGATGGCCTGCAGTCCCTTCATTCTCCTCTTGGGATTTTGGGCACACATGCATGCACACATACCCAGCATTGAGTTTTAAGCAACTGGGTCCAGGTCTTCAACCATGGTTGACTACATGGGAGTCCAGCAACGAAACCACTATGGCATCTGCTGGGCCTTTTTCTGTTTTTCTGTTTTTTTGTTTTGTTTTTAAGAGAATTATTATTTTCTAAATCTGCTATAGGGCACATGTGCTTACCAGAGAAACAGAGAGAGAAAGCAAGCCACCAGTCCAGAACTCAAGCCATGGTTGGCCATGTACAAGTCCAGCGCCTCAGCCACCGTGCCACCTGCTGGCCCCTGACTAGTTTTTAACCAAAATTCCATCTTAACCGGATTTTTGTTTTGTTTTGTTTTAATTTGCCAGAGGGTGCATGACCTCACCAGAGAGGCAAAGTGAGAGAGCAACCTCCCACCACCATGAGGCAGGGACACACTGCAATCCCTTCTCCATTTTTCTCCTTTTGGGGATTTTGTGTATGCACACACATGTACACATCCCTGGCATATTCTTTTTAGAGATTTTTTGCTATAGGGTACATGTGCTTGCTGAAGAGACAGCGAGAAATCACCCCACCAGAGGAATGGCCACACCACAATCCCTTCTTTCTCCTCTCAGGATTTTGGGCACACACACACACATGCCTGGCGTGACTTTTGAGCCACCAGGTCCAGGACTCAAAATGTGGTCGACTGTGGGAGTCAAGTGATATAACCATTATGCCATCAGCTGGTCCCCTGGCATGTTTTTCAAGCTGCTGGGTTCAGGACTCAAACCATGTAGTCAGCCGTGTGGGATCCAGCTCCCTTAGCCACAAAGCAATGGTCTGGCCCCTGTTTTACCAGTTCTATTTTAAGAGGGTGCATGCACTCGCCAGAGAGACAGAAATAGAGAAGTAACCTCCAGGGGGGCAGGGGGGCAGGGGACATGGAATGGCCATACCTCAATCTCCTCCACTCCTTGGAACTTGGGCACACATGCTCAGAGTTTTGAGCCGCCAGGTCCAGGACTCGAACTGTGGTCCACTATGTGGGAGTCCAGCAACATAACCATTATGTCATCTGCTGGTCCCTGTTTTATGAGTTTTCAAAAAGAAGCAACGAACAGTATGTGCGTAGCTTTTGGCTGGCTTGTGCTGTCCTCGGAGTTGGGTCTCGGAAAGACAGGGCCCAGGAACTTGGAACTGAGCCATGCAGTCATTTTCTTGAACTGTAAGTGTTTATGGTCTCAGTCTGGCCATGGGCTAACCTGTGGGGGCCAGGGGACCCCCAGCCAGAATTGTTTCAATGGTTATATAACTTCTTTAAATTTTTAATAAGTTTAATAGAAAATATCCTGGCAGAGCAGTGAGGTCAGGTTTATCTGTATCTCAACATCACTTGTAATCTCTGATGGTATATATTCAATTCAAATGTTTAAAAGTGAATTTATTTGGCCTGGGAGGGGGCAAGAAAAGTGACATTCTGATGACCACTGAGCAGGAATCCTGTTGCGGTCCATGATACAACAATGGGACTCCCTTAAATACAAACTCTTCAGGAGCAGAAGCCAGTTCTTACCTGGCACTCCACCTAACAGAACTGGTGACAGTGAGTTCCAGAACCTTCCACAGCTCTCTTCCTTAGCGTTAACTCATCGTTGGTACTAGATTTAAAAACAATGTATTCCCTTCTCCACACCTGTCCACTGCTACCCAGCCCAGGAGGTGCAGTGGACAGGGCCAGGAGGTGCAGCTCCCCGGCCTCAGAGGGAGGCCCAGCCTCATCCTGTGCTACTCACAACAGGCGGGGCTGGCTCTTGGGTGAGCTTAGCATTTCCTGAGCGCCCACGGAGGAGCGGAGGAGCGTGCTGTCCAGAACACAGAGACAGGCTCCAACAAGCACAGGCCCCACTCTGAGTCACCCGCTTGTAGGAGCTGCATCCTGTGTTCAGTGGGTCTCTGCTCTCCGGTCGCACGGCCCTCCTGATTTCCATAGCGATCCTGGTCTCTTCTGCAGCCTGGCCTTGCCCTGCCAGTGTGGCCTCCAGGGCCCCGTGCCTCCAGGGCCCCTTTGGCAGTCACTCCCTCTCCACATTCTAAAGAAAAATCCCAGTGAGGTGGGTTTTCTACCTTTGTTTTGGAGGCCTGTGGTTGCCATGGTAGACTTGGCTGACCCGAGTGTTCACTGCCTGCCAGGCACTGTGTGATGCTTCCCGTCTCCATCCTTGAAAAGACACATGGGGGGGGGGGATGTTAAGCTAAAGCTCGTTTCCAAAAAGGAGCCGGAAGACCAGAGGCTAAGTCACTCAGGGTCCAAATCCGGCAGTCAGCCAGGAGAACCTGCGGGTCATCCACTTGGCCACTGTGTGAGACCTACTGAGCTGTCACCTACACCAGGGTGTGGGCTCTGCTCTTCCAGTCAGTCCGCTGGGGACTCCCGGCAGCCCTTAGCTCACTGCTTCCCCCTTTCTGCTTTTCAGACTTGGGTGGACCCCGCAAGTGGGAATTGAGATTTTGCTGGGGGCCGGGGTGTCATGACGAGATGATTCCACCATCTGTGAGGCCCCCAGGTGTTGTGGGTAGTTGGCAGGAAAAAAGCCAAGGAACTGCTGCCCAATGTGGCGTCTCTCCTGTGGTTGGGGTCACTTCTCCTCTGCCAGGCTGAGCAGTGGGCAGGGGACAAAACTCCTGTCAGTGGAATTTAGATGGTAGTAGAGTCTCCTGTAATCTCTGACTGCAAGACCTCCAGAAATGAGGTCCCCGTTTGTTTTTGTTTTTAGGTTTCTGCCAGAGGGTGCGTGCGTGCTCGCCAGTGAGAGCGAGAGAGCAAGAGAACGTGGAAAACCACCTCCCTGGGGAAGGCCACACTGATCCCTTCTCCAGTCTCGCACGATTTGGGGCACGCGTGCACACAGGCCCAGTGTGATACCCAAGCCGCTGCGACGACTCGGACAGCGATCGCCACGTGGGAGTCCAGCGACTCAACCGCCACCCTCCACGTGGGAGTCCAGCGCAGCAGCCTCTGGCTAGCAGGTGCCCGGCCCGTCGGAGGCCCCGGCCTTTGTTCACGAGTCGCTTCAGCCCTTCCTGAGGCTGTTTAGGCCTTACCTGAGCCCGAGACGGCTCCCTAGGACCCTTCCCCACACACCCCTTCAGGCCCTGACCCCTCCTGAACCTGATGGAACCTGGACCCTCGGCGGCAGAGAAGGGCGTCTGGGTCCTTCCGACGTTTTTCCCGCCCTTCCAAAGGTTTGTGGAGCCCTTGGGTCGCAGACTCAGCCACAGAGCAGGACCCCCGCTTCTGGGAACGACAGGCGCTCCTTGCCGAACGCACGCCTATTCCACCCGTCTCCTGGCTCAGGTCTGCGCCTGGGCCTCGGAGGGGGCGGCCCGGGGCGGCCGCAGGCATCCCCGGGCAGGCAGCGCCCCCTGGTGTTCCAGGCAGGAGCTGCGGGGCGGGGTGGAAGAAGAGGGAGAGGAATAGCTAGAGGCACGCGACACGCCGGACTCGCGGCACTTCCCGCCCCCTTGTCTACCTTGGCAGAGAAGTCCCGCGGGAGAAGGGCAGGGGACAGCTGGGACTCGGTTCCCCTCCCTCAGCCTTCACACGAGACCCCGGACGGGGCGGGGAGGGGCCTGGCTGGGGGCGGCCCGGCAGGAAGCGGCGGGTACCTTCCGCTGCAG